TCCCAATTTCCTTATCCCCCTCTTTATTTATCCCCCCTCCCAATTTCCTTATCCCCCTCTCAATCTTTATTTATCCCCCCTCCCAATTTCCTTACCCCCTCCCAATCTTTATTTATCCCCCCCTCCCAATCTTTATTTATCCCCCCTTCCCAATTTCTCCCTCACCTCCCTCCCTACCACTGTTGTAGCATGGCCGAGCTCTGTATCATGGTCCGTGGGTACAGGGAGCTTTTGTTTCCTGTGCCCGGCCGGACTAAAGGGAGTGCACACTTGGCCCCTCCCAAGGCACCCCCCACCCTGGTGGCACCCAGGGCGGTCCCCCCCCCCTTAGTACGCCACTCCCTATGGCTTTACCTATTAGTACGCCACTGGATGGCCCTATTAAAAAAAAAAAACTATATTAAATAGGAACTGTTACTATTCTGTAATGTACAGTATATGACTAAACAGAAAATTTACCATTGCATGTAACTTGTCTTACCGTAATCCTTTTTTTCATGAGATGATCCATTTACTTTTAAATTGATATTAAAGATTTAGTTAATTACATGGCAGTCTTGTTCAGACAAGCAAAGCAAGGGCAAATATTGCAAATAAAGGTCTGAATCTGGAGAAAGAGTGAATTCAGAGAAAGTTCAGAATCTACAAATGTTATTTTCTATTGGGAATGAGAGATAACAGGCAGGTGGGGACATATAGCATTTTTTTGGGGTGGGGAATCAATCTCCCTAAAAATTTATAATTATAATATGAAAGTGCCAGTTACAAATCATACAGAAATTAACAGACACAAAGCATACAATACTCATATTTGTAAAAGTGTAGGGGAAAACCAAAGAAGATAGGATAAAATAGCATTGAATTTGTGTCTTGATTGACGGTAATTGCTAGCAGATGATATTGCAACGTTTTTAAATATTTAATTTTGCAGAATGTAACTGTGAATCTGGAAAAAAGAGTTGCAAACGGCCCAACGACTGCTGGTAATGGTAATAGTTCAGACACTTCTAAATTCATATGTAATTGAACCCGCAAGCTCTCATATGTACTCGTGTGTTTTCAGCCATGTTTGTGTAAATGCTTTGTTACAAATTTATTTTTTATTTATTAGTAGGAGATGAGACACAATGGTAATTTAGTCGAATAACAATTTTAGTGGACTTAAATTTTTGAGATTTAGTCGACTAAAATTAGTCTAAAACAATTCAGATGACTAAAATACGACTAAAATACGACTAAAATTAAAATGGCATTTTAGTCCAAAGACTATGACTAAACTAAATTGAAATTTGCCACGAAAATCAACACTGATGAGAACACAAGTTCATCAGTACATTAAACCTAACAGTATGTTTATTTGACATCATTTTGTTTATATATTTTATATTTTTATATATTTATTATATATTCACTTACAGCTACAGCCCCATTTTTGATCACCATAACGCTGGAACGATTGTTTACTTAACCTGATATATTGGATGTGCAGAGCCACCGTCTCACCAAATAGATTAGGGTGGAGCTGTGTTACATAAGCACTCATTCAGTGAGGTGGAGCTGTTTAACCACTGATTATCTGCTTACAATGATCACATATGACATGCACAAATTCAGAAACTGTGAACACCTATTTTAAAAAGCAGTTCATTGCTAGCTGTGCTATGGACAAACCTTTAAAAGTACACAGCTCTCCAAGAGAAAAAGGCTAGAGGCTTCGACATCCAATGTAGACTCAAAATT